TTTTACAGGAGGTCGTTTTTCTTTTAATTCTTTTAATAATTCATATGTCACACCATCACATACATCCAGCGGTGTTTGACCCTAAATTAATTCAATAAAAATTATTTCGAAAAATTTCTTCATTTTGTTTTTACTGCAAAATTTTTTGAATCTAAATCTGCATTTCTTTCCAAAAGAAATTTAATAATATCATGTTTATCCCAATGTGCAGCTGCATGTAAAGGTGTCCAACCATCATTATCAACTGAATTTATATTTGCACCAGCACGTAATAAAATACTAAAAGAATATAATTCATATATCTATATTTCTATCTATTGAAACATACTCAATAACATCTAAATATCCTTTCGCACACGCAACATGTAAAGCAGTAGCACCCGTTCTTGCATGTACAATAGTTTCTGGTAAAGATTTCGAATTAGTTTTTTGATTATTATTTAACCAATCTTGTGCATGTTTAAGCATTAATTGATGTTCAATATTTCTTGCTTGTTCATCATCAATACCTTTTCTTCTCATATCTTCTTCCAAACAAGCAATTATATCATCACCTTCAGCTATATCAATTGGTAATTCACCTTCATTATTACAAACATCAACAGTAGCACCACGAGATAATAAATATTTAACAATATCAATATTTCCACAAGATGATGCTGCATGTAAAGGTGTCCATCCTTCATTGTCTTGACAATTTATATCGGCAGAACGATTGAGCAAATATTCTACCATGAGCAAATTATTATCAATACAAGCTTGATGAAGTGCTGTGAGTCCATCAATATTTGATGTATTTATATCAACTCCACGTTGTAATAATTTTTCAACTTCATCACGATCTGATGATGAACATGCAGCTAAGAAAACATATGCTTGTTGAAATTTGACACGTTGAGAGATTTTAACATTTGATGATTCTCGATTTGTTTCTGATTCATCCCAACGACGTAATTGTTCACGACGTTTAGCTATTGCACTCGATTGACGATTGACTTCGTCTGATGGTGATGGATTTATTCCACTTAACATTAATCAAATTTATTTATTATTCACATTGGATGGACATATTGAAAGAGATATCTTCTATAGAGACAAGAAAAGACTAAATAAACAACATCAGAACAAACAACAAGTTGCGGCCATACTATAAATATTATCAACAAGGTCAATTTATTTAGAGAATTTATATCATTCGATTATAACTTGGATTTTAATTGATTTTATATTAATCAATCAAAGATATTCTTAATAAAAAAAATATATCGACTATTTTTTATCCAATTTTTTATTACTATTGATGTCGCTAGTTGACAATAAAATTGTATACAGTTCATAAGGAAATATTATTTTTGAAGAAAAGAAAAAGTATGTCAAGACACAGTTATAGATTTTTATATTAGATTAGAGAATTAAAACTATTTATTTTTCTATATAATTTATTTAAATGACTCGAAAAATATTCTCAATTTTTCTATACAATTAAAATTCTATTTTTTGAAAGAAATTTTTAATTTCATTATGAATTTTTGTATTTGTTAATTTTTAATAGATTAGTTTTGTTTCTATAATTAGCATAAAATTGTTTGTTCGTTCTTTATCCACATATCATTATTACTCTGTTTATATATATATAAACGACAGAATAAGAAGAATAAGTAACACAAACAGAAACAAAAGCGCAAATTCCACCGTTATGTCCTTGTTTCTAGTATAAATCTCGTCATAATCTCTATATTCATTGGATTCTCTACAGCTAATAACAATTATTTCTTTTCTTTCGACGTAATCAAATAACTAGATAAAAGAAATAATAATTTAAAAAAAGAGGAAGTTTAGATATATCAATGATTACTAAAATACTTGCCTATTTTGATGTAAAATAAATCTAATAATGAATAATCATAAATATGTAAAGAGTATTCACCAAACAACATAAATAGTCAGTGTGACCTTTTTAAATTTGAATAAGAAACCTACGCAGTCTTTGGGTTTAAATCACTGCTGAATCATTAGTATTATTCTGTGCAACCCACATTGATATTTACCAAGTATATCGAGTATCTCTATACTATAAAAGATTATCATAGATATCAATAGATCTAAGTTTAAACTTTAATTCAATATCGGTGACACCATGTTGATTTTTTTCTTTCTTATGATTTTTACAAAAATAAATGTTAATACAGCAGCTATTCAAGAGTTATCAGGGTTCTATAATTTTACAAACTGTGCATGTACTGTTCTAAGATGTTTAGAGCCTTCGTTTTATGAAATTAATCAAAATCAAAATGGAGATTTGGCAGTAACCTATCTTTACACTACATTAGTAGCACGTGGAAAAGCAACATTGGTTAATAACGGACAGCAAACACAAGTATCCCTGCAATGGTCTCAAACGGATTTTTATACAAATTGTACAGGTACATGGATACCAACAAAACGAACAATTGATTTAAACTGTGGTGATCAATTTCGATATTGTACGGGACAATTACAATGTCGTGGGAATAGTGGTGCATGTGCAAAAAATAATTCAATGACACTTAATATTCAATATGTTAGTTCTTTTTGGAAGATGATCATTAGTACAATATTCTTATTGTTAATTAAAAATATCAATTTCTAAGTTTTACTTATTAATTCTAATAAAAATGAATAAATCATATATATATATATTATAATACTCGTTTGTTCGATGAAAAAATGTTTGTCAATTCATGATTATTGAATTGCTTTATTTAATAGAGCATGAGTAACGATAGAAATTGTTAAAATATTAAATATCATTCATTTTAAATATTCTTTATGCAAATAGTTGTTAACATTAACGAAAAGTATATACAATACAACCTTGTATACAAATTTCTTTTTTATTTAATTTATCGTCCTATATCAATATGTATATACACACATATACATATATAAATTAAAATGAAGCGGAAAAAGAAAAGAATAGCAATGAAAACGAGAACGAAAAGAAAAACGAGAGCAAAATTAAAGAATGGGATGTCTGTACTCCATGACATTTGACAATGAAAGAGAGAGGGAAAGAGCTATGGTCTCTAATAATATTCTTTGTTTTGAATAATGTGTCACATGTATGTATATGTAAATGAAAGACTATTCATCTCAATATTAGATCTAATGAATGTCATTCAACATACTTCAGATATAAAGGAAGAATCAATAAAAATATTTAACTAATGTATTACTTCCTTTTAACTATTTTTGAGAGAACGATAGTAAATATTATTAGTTCATGTAGTATTTAACAATATTTGCTCGAAATACTCAACAGAAAGAATATGAGTATAAAAATCAATATTTTCTAAACGCCTACATTCTCAACATCATTTCATTTTATCATCATTCCAATATCTATCGCCTTCTTTATAATATCTGAGACTGTATCTAGTTGTATCTCATAGCAATGCATGTTATAACTAATTAGTTAGATATTATCTCTTTATATACATATAGAAATTTCGGAAAAAAAAGAATGTTTTTAGATAATTAAAAACAAAATACAATTTGAAAAATAAATACATAATCTAAATCTGTTGAACATTTATCATCAATACAAAATCATATCAATATTTTTACTATGATAATAGTAAGAAGAAGTAAATGAATTGTGTTGAACGAAAAATAATAATAATTTTTAATAACGGTCAAAAAAGTGCAATATATGACTTATCAATGATACAGTGAAAAGTTCATTTAAAATGTTTCTTTGATAAATATCGTTAGACTAAACGGTAATTAATAAAAAAAAAGAGGAGTGTAATATAGCGTAAATTTCTTTATATCAAGGTTGAACTGATAAGACCTTTCACGTTTTGTTTTTCTTTAATATTTTCATCTTTATATAAAGATTTATGTATTGAAAAATAGAAATAAAATTTAACGATAATAACAAATTCTACTTATTACCAGCTATTGTCTAAATGTGTCTCTTGTACAAAAGATTCCTTCTGTGATAAGACATACAATGATCAGATTCGATAAAACATCAAATGTTTAAAACTCAAGGGTGTGAATCAGTAATGGAAATACGACATGTTTTTATAGATCCAATTCGACATAATTATTGTTCAATTCTGCTTGGTTCACTTCACTTTTAGTGGAGCACGACCTGAATCCACAAAACTATTATTTATAAAAATATTTTCTCTCTCGTTGACAGTTTTCTTGATTTCAATTATTTAACAAGATGTCATTTAGTGGAAAATAGTCTATATATAAAAAGAAATTAATTTTACATACTTAATGTCTTAATATATTCAACATATCTGTTTACAATAGATAGGTAAAAATCAAGTTATTTTAACTAAAGAACTGGATTATCGAACATTATTCTTTTCTCATTGATGCATTCATAATTATAGTTCAACAACTAAATGAACTATCATAGGAGGATTCTTCTATTAAGAATGGCTTATTATCAATATTTATTTTTTTACATTAACAAATCTCATTGATACACTATATAACAGTTCACATAAATAAAACATATACTTATTTTAAGACAATACTATGATTTGTTATATTTTTTCTACTAAATATTTACATAGGGTTTTTAATCATAAACCTTTTTGAGAACTTTACGATAGACATAAAGTTTACAAAAAATAAAAAATAGACTACAGTAAATGTTGGATCACGTTTGACATTTATCCATCATTCCTTATATTTACATTACACTTACATCGGCACATTAAACGTTGATATTTCTCTTGTATATGACAGCTAGATTTAAAGTATAAACGTTATCTTTAATTAACTATGTTTATTTATAGTGAAGATTTTTATATACAATTTCACATAATACTTTTTAAAGCAAACACAGATAAACTATAGGAGAATGTCATTTTTTTGGGTAATAGTTTTGTTCACCAGAATTTTTTACGATGACGTTTGTTATTTTTCTTGAATAACTATAAAGTAAATTGGTTGTGAAAATAAAGTAAGTGAAAGAAATGAACAGCAAACAATTGTTACATTGTACAGTATCGTAAGTTGCATACGGTTGGCCTTATCAGATCATAAACATAGTAACCATTACAATTAGTTACAGAAACTGAATTTGACCAATTACAGGAATTACTAGCCCAATAGTAGCACACAGTACCAGTAACAGTACTACCGACTGCTGGAAGACTACCAGTATACCATCCAGGAGCATCAGTATTGCATCTATATATACTTGTATAATAATTAGCTAACATTGTGCCACCAGCACCTGAGAAACGAACCCATACTGGTGTGGACAAAAAATAATAATAATCACATTGACTAGTCGCGACTCCATACGTCATAAGTCGAGTAGCATCTGTAATTGATGTATAACTGAAGCATTGTGATGGTAGTGCAACAGATGTTGTTGTTGTAGCTAAATAATCAATAATATTTCATGTAGTTATTATTGTCAATAAAAATGAGATACGTAAATTTGAAAGGATATATAAGAAATTTTACAATTATTGATTTTAATAAAAACTATTCTAATAAAATAAATTTGATTCCTAAGAATTGAAGATCTTATCTATGTGTCTTTTACTCACTTTTAGATGTTGTACTTGTGCTTGATGTTGATGTGGATGTTGTTGATGCTGAAATAAATTACATGAAATTTCTTTTATTATCAACAAGAACAGTATTTGTCACGTACTTGTTTTACTTGTGGTTGATGTGGATGTTGACGTTGATGTTGATGTGGATGTTGAACTTGTAGATGTCGATGTCGATGTGGATGTTGATGTTGTTGATGCTGAAATAGATTATATGAAATCTCTTTTATTTACAACAAGAATAGGATTTGTCACATACTTGTTTTGGTTGTGGTTGATGTGGATGTCGATGTAGATGTTGACGTTGAACTTGTAGAAGTTGATGAGGTTGACGTGGATGTTGAGCTTGT